TGTCTTACGGGGGGACCTAACTGCACGTCTTCCAGCCCATCCCGCAGCCCACCCACCCCTCCAATTCCCGCCCCCAGCCAGGCAGGCAGCCCCAGTCCCCCCCCCAACCCCTTTCCCTGCCCAGCGGAGTTCCCCCTGGCTCCCCCAAGGAAAGGACCCAGCGCCAAACTGGGACCCCTGGAGTAAGGGTCTCCCTTCTAGGTCCTGCAGTCACCCACCTAAGAGGCTGGGAAGCGGTTGGGGCCCCACCACCCACCCATGGGAAGGCAAGTCTCTCCCACTCCTGCTCTCGTGGGGTTGGGGGGGGGGGGCAGGCAGGTGCCTTTGGCTTTAAATATTTCAGTCACTTGATTTCATCTTCCCAATTGGTGTTATCTTCCCGGGGCCCTCGGGGACAAGGACGGTTAATTAAAAGCCGGATAAATTAATGAGTAGACCAAGACCAACGAAGAACAAAGAAGGGGGGCAGGAGGCTACGGACGCCCAATCCCCCCAAATTCAGGCCTCCCCTCCCCCCCCACAGCCCAAGCATGGANAATATCAACAAGCTCAAATTCTTTATCTCCGTTTTCCATTTCAATTTTTTGAATTTCCATCCTGTTTTGTGTTTGATCCTCAGAATTTGTTGCCAAAAAGACCAAATAATCCAATTTTCTCTGAATTCTGTCCTCTGTATCAAACACTCTCTTCAAAGCTGAAAGTATCACTTGGAGGGACGCTTGGAGAGACGCCATGTTTATGCGCAGTTGTATTTTTTCTTAAAAGCTCTGAAACATTTGCAAGTGAAAGCAGACTACAAAGGGAACAGCTGTACAATCTTATCAGGTCTTAAGCCAGAACAGCCAAGCAATAAAAGTGTCAAGTAGGGCACCAAGGTTCTTGAGACACAGAGAGGTTCTCAATAGAAGTGCCAATCTCTCTCCCTCTCCCTCTCCCCCCTCCCCCCTCCCCCCTCTCTCCCTGTGTATGTAGAGAGAGTGTTTCACAACTATTATTGAACCCATAAAATTGTTTCTCTCACCTCCTTCTCATCTTAATTATTGGGAGAATATCTCCAAGGCACTTAGATGCTTACAATGTACTATATCTCACTTTGCCTGAAACAGCACTGAATCAAATAACAATTTCTATGTTTTCTATCATTCTTAACTGTGTCCAATGAGCAGCAGAACTCAAACTCATTTTCCTCACTAGGAATTGCACAGAAACCATTAGGTATTTTGAAGGTGTGGGATGGTGTTTGGCTTGCCTTGTCAGAACCTGACCCTAATTTAGGATACCACCTAGACCTGAACCATTTCCCAACATGTCAGGGCTGGTTTTCTGGGCAACGAATGTTGCTACTATATGTCCCTGGCCACCACAATAGAAGTAAAGACCTTGTCTCCATATCAGTGTTTTCTCAGCATCTTTCAAATGAGGCCATGCACCCAAATTCTTCATCGGTTCTACAGGGGAAGTTTTCTCATACTACACATGAGTGAGGTATGGCAGGCATAACAATGAATTTGTTATGGACTCTGGACTTTTGCTATTATAGGTGCCTGTTCCTCCATCCAGGAATGAAAGTCAAAACAAACATAAAAGAGAATGTTTTTTAATCAGTCCATACTCTCGTCGGCTGCAAGCCCAAAATAAACAAAGAGATAAGCACTCTGGCAGAAAGTCCTACAAACTTAGGCCAATGCAAACATGCTTTCACAGCAAACCAATTCTCCAAGTTGGTTTCTCTTAATTGTGAACGTTGACTTCTGCAAAAGGGCGTGGAACAAGCAGTCTCTTTTATAATCAGGAGAGGATCTTAATAAGCATAAGCTGAGCGTAATCATCTTCTTTAATGACACAGTTGTTCTTGCTGCCAAGTAGCCCTTCGATGGCGTGCATCCCGAAAAAACTAACAAGTGTTTTCCAGATCACTCCCTCTGATCCAAGGTTCCGGCGCCACCTGGTGGCCAACCAGTCTCTCCTCACCCTGCTCAGAGTGGGCACCCTGTCCAGGGTCCTCCACCTCCTCCAGGGCCGACGCATAATACCCCTCACTGTCAGAGTCTGGCGGCAGCTCCAATGGCTCCTGCCAGGCCACAACAGGTACCAATCTATATGCAAGCACAGGTAAATTATTCCTTCAATCGTGCCCAGACATTTAATTTTTGTTAATTTGTGAAGAATTTCATATGCCAACTTTTTCTTAAATTAGTCATTCAGTGCAACTTCATTCTGCAAATGATGTTTTCCAAAAAGGAGTGTGCAAAAGAGCTCCAAGGCTCAAGAGCATGGTCATGGTTCTAAGCCATCACAAGAGTGAAATTCATACACAGNTCATTTTACCCACCTTGGAAGGATGGAAGGCTGAGTCAACCCTGAGCCGGTGAGATTTGAACAGCCAAACTACAGAATTGCAGTCAGCTGAAGTAGCCTGCAGTGCTGCATTTAACCACTGCGCCACCTCGGCTCCTTATGTTCATGATCCATTCTTAATGATTAGATTAAATAGATGTAAAGGTAAATCTGTAATAATATGAAGAGTTCTCTGTGAAATTGTTATGATTTCAAATCCCAATTCATTCTCCCAGAGTTTTAAAAAGATCTTTTGGAAAGAACCTCTTGTGATTTTTATAAGGGTTTTATGTACTGTAATCTCAACCACATTCCTTTTCATGTAATTCTTCTTTCATGTAATTCTGCAACCAACATTGATGTGGCAAATACAGATGGTTCTCAACTTATACCATTTCATTTAGTGACTGCAAAGTTATATCGTGACTTATGACCATTTTTCACACAACCATAGTCATGTGATCAAAATTCAGATATATGGCAACTGGCTCATATTTATGAGAGTTGCGGTCTTCCTGGATCATGTGATCATCTTTTGCAAATCTTCTGATGGGCGAAGGCAATCAGGAATACAGATTCACTTAACGACTGTGGCACGTTACTATTTTAACAAGTGCAGTGATTCACTTAACTGTGGCAAGAAAGGTCAAAAAAGGGGTAAAACTCACTTAACAAATGTCTCACTTACTTAGCAACAAATTTGCGGCTCAGTTGTGGTCATAAATAGAAGTCTACCTCTATTAACTTATATTAACTATTCGTTACTTCATTAGGGCAGAATGTGTACTTGGCATGCAAAAGGCACACAACTAACTTTCTGCATGCAAATTTGCACCTGAGATACTTAAAATCACTGCCATCTACAGTGAAGTAACTTAGTCATCAATCGGAGCTAACATCTCAAATTGTATATGTTATGTATTAAGTATTTTTAAAGTGTCTCCCTAAACATTTACTGCCTCTGTGGGTAGTATGATATTTTATTATTATTTTTATACCTTTCAAATCTACAAACTATATAAGGGATTACTTATTACGATTGATTTGATCATTCCTTTTCAAGCATATATATAGCTAGATAAGCCTTTCCTAATTTAGTGCTTTTCAAATATAATGGATTTCAATTCCTAACATTCTCAAACAGGAAATACTGATTAAGATATTTATGCTATATGTAGGAGATAACCATTTGCTGCATTTGGTAGGGTGGGCATGTGTCTAGTCCAGAGGTCTTCAAATTTGGCAACTTTAAGACTTGCGGGACTTCAACTCCCAGAATTCTTCAGCCAGCTGTGCTGTGCCGGCTGGAGAATTCTGCGAGTTGAAGTCCCCAAGTCTTAAAGTTGCCAAGTTTCGGGACCCCTGGTCTAGTCCTTTCTTTTGAAGATTATCAGCTGATGGGAACTAGGAAATGAGTCTTTTCTGTGGCAGTCCCTGCCCTACAGAAAATATTTCCCCTGAACTTTTACAGATCTCTACCCTCCCAACCTTCCATAAGCCCTGACCGCCCCCCCCCCTCAAGCACTGGGATAAGATGAAGTGACTACACGTTGGAAGCTTGACCTGGTGACTTAATAGTTTTAATATGTTTTTTTTGACATTTTAATTTTTGATTGGAAACTGCCCAGAGATTGTAATAAGAAAGAAGGTAAAATAATAATAAATAATTAAAATAAAATAATAATTAAATTAAAATTAAATTAAGTTGATGAAAGTTGACTTTCCAGAATTGTGAGCCCATGATAGGATAATCCTTATTTTATTTTATTTTATTTGTTATTTTTTTATTTTTTTAAACAGACGTATACAAAAAAGACATAAACCATAAAACCATCTTTCATTATATACAATGTGTTGATTGGTTACAAGGTTTTTGTGCATCCTTTCCGTAGTCATTGCAATTTATATAAAGTCACGTGTTATTCCTTTATTTTCAACGAGCTATACTTAATATTGGGATCATTTATATTATAACAATTCATTGCATCATCTTCAATCTATCCAATAATAATATATCTTTATATTATATTCAATGTCATTCTATTATTCTTGAATTGATAACATTCTCTAGTATCTTTCATTTCCATGTTTTTTTAATTTAACCATTGATAAAATAAATCCCGTGTCTTATAAAATTGTTTATTTTCTTGTTCTCTAATTTCAAATGTGAATTTACTCATTTCAGCACATTCCATTATAAGGATAATCCTTATTTTAGAAAACTGGCCTAAGATGTGGACTTTAAATTTAAGCAATTTAATATTGGTGCTATAGGCAGCCGAAACCATTTAACCTTCACAAGAAATGGACCTAAATCTACCTCCTTAAAATAAGGCCAAAAAGGCAGGCAATGTGATTAGCACAGAACTGATAGAATTCAAGTGTTTACTTTCTACTTAAACAATCTTGTGGCATTTTAAAGACTATTAAAAATTCATTACAGCATAAGCTTTGATGGTCTGCAAAAGCAGATTATAATTTGTGAAAGATGAGGGCATCATAAATTTGTTAGATTTGAGGGAATCTTTCCATTTAATGTTGAAAAAGTCTCTCAACTTATTGTTATAGAAATAATTAAATATATAAATATTTTTTATATTTAAGTTTAAGTTTGCTGAGGCAGCCTTGAATGAATATAACCAATATAATTTATATTTGTTTTTATTGCTGATTTAAGAGGAATGGAAGCACAAACAAACGGTGTCCTTGGGATGACTGGCAACATGAGTAATCAGCCTGCTTGGAGTAAACGTGAGTATCTATTAAATGCTTACTTCTGAAATTCCTACTAGACATGTCTAGTATCTCTTGACAAGCTACAAAACAGCATTATATTGTCTTATGGCAATGGTGTAGCAAAGAATTTTTTTGTTCAGGATGCATGTTTGGATATCCATGTAAATAAATAATATTAATAACAGTACAGTATGACTATTTCTCTTCCTACTATTGCTGGATTATATCCTTGGCAGAATTACTCATTCCATTCACTCTAACAGGAGGACCAAAGAATTATCTTTGGCAGCCCTTCAGGGATAATAAAGATTAAGCTTCTCACTAGTTCTTCCATCCTCCCTGCTCTGATAAGCGGGCCAGTTGCAGGAATTCCCAGTTGATCTTGCTTTTTCTTTTTCTCTTTTTTTCTTTTCCTTCTCCTTTTTCTTTCTCTGATAGAGTGCCTTGGCCTCTGAAGACTCAGGGAGCCCTTTGCTATTTCTCAACATTGGAAGAACTTTTAGTTGTTTAGGAGCATTGTTCTCAAGGCTTGACTTTTTGAACAAATGGCTTTACCAGAAGGAAAGCAACCAGTCATGCGGTCTACTCACCCCAAGGACTATCCTCAATGACTAGTTAGTTGATTTGTGGCAGACATTTCTTATTCTGCTTTGCTAAAGTTGGTGAGATTTTCCTTAGTTTATCTCAGGAGGTAAGGGACCAAGAGCTCGGAACAATACAGAAGAAAACTGTATTTTCCTCCTCCTTCTTAATCAAGGCAATCATTCTCCATCTGGATTTTTACCATAGGTAAGAGATGTAGTGCTTGTCAAGCCCTCCCTAAGATCACTTGCCTACATAGTATCCCAGAAAGGTCCTCCCTCTAAAGAACCTAGAGATATCAGTAGAAGTCTTCCTTGGAATTTGTACTCTTTTACCTGTGAAGGTCTAAATGTAAAAGGAGCACCAACACTTGCAGTCCGTTGAAATAGAGGAGAACGTTATTTGTTCTTGCACTGTTTTTGCAGGTTGACTGCAGGTTCAAATTTGCGTGAAAATTTCAGCACTTTGCAATACTTATGTTGGAGAAATGAAGCAATCATAGTGATTGGATGTTCTAGGACCATGATGGTGAACCTATGGCATGCATGCCACATGTGGCATGCAGGGGCTTGTCTGTGGGCACACCAGCTGTCACCCCAGCTCAGTTTCACCTGCGCATGCACACAGACCTGCTGATTTTCAGGTCTCTGCCATGCAAGCACGGGGGCAAGTGGGATACACATGGGGGGAGATGTGCTCACATGCACAGGGTGGCGAGTTGCACATGGGGGAGTCACATGAGCAGATGTGGGGTTCGTGTGCGCATGCGAGGGGGAAAGGGTGTATACAAGGATAGTGCATGCATGTGGGAGGGAAGTGCACACGTAAGGGGGGGTCACATGCACATGCACAGAGGGTTGCGGAGGGGGCACGCATTGCATTTTGGGGGTGCGCGTGCGCGTTTTTGGCACTGTGGTCAAAAAGATTAGCCATCACTGTTCTCGGATCTATAGTGTGTTACAGGAATATTATTATTTTTAGTAGTGAGCAATTTATTTATTGGTAGCTTTTAAAAAAGGAAAGACAATCAGGAAGAAAGGGGACATCTAAATAATTTTGCTTTAATAAGTGTATTTCCCTTTACAGAGGTTGCTGTTAATGGAAAGACTAAAAAGGAGCACAAAACATCTCAGTCACTTGTTGCTTTTAAGAATGCCCTGGAAGCAAAAGAAAGGACAAACGATGTCCAGTTGGACTTGGATGCACAAACTCTCATTTCCTCTGCTAAATGGCTTCAACTTTATGGACTCAAGAAGAACAAGATGACTTTTTCTCAGATTTTTTCCCAAATTGGATTCCAGCACAAAGAAGGTATTCCTAAAATCTAACCATGCAAAGAGATCTCTATTGTGTTTCAATCTGTTGCTTCTTTTGTTGTTTGGATGTCCCTTTTGTTAATAAACAGTCACATGTGTGTATGAGTTTGTAGCCTTGTCTTAGTAGGAGTTACTACTTCATGAACACGCGAGAGACAGCAATGAAGAAAGAATGCACACAATGAAAGTTATACATGAACAACACTTTCTGTTGCAGACTATGTCTCCGTCTTGGGGAAAATTGTGGCTTCACGATATGCAGATGGTCTGTATCACCAATATAGGGCTGTATCTGATGGCAAGCTCTATAATGTAAGTGTGATATATTTATATTTTATTGGAGTAACTAATTTCTTTCTTTTTTGAAGGAGAATGTGCAGCAGATAAAATGGCCTTGTGTCTAGCATGTTTGCTGCTTGTACACATCTGAGGAATCTTTAAATAATGGAGTTGGAAAAGGCCTCTCTTAAAGCAGGGAGTCAATTCTAAGGCATCGGAGTAAGGTGCAGCTTTCCAAATTTCCCCCAAAATTCTTGGTTCCCTCCAAAAGCTGTCCAGTTTTTGAATAAGAGATGTCAGATGTTTATTTATCAAACATATTTCTATACTAGCACAGTTCAGATAAATCTTATCTGTATGGTGTTGATGATACTTTCTTGATAGCCAAAAGTGCAAAAGATCTGCAAGCTCTAATAATAAAAGTTCAGGACTAAAGTGAAAAAAATGGAGCTAAAATTATAAGGAAGATGACACTAATGACACAGGTTCAACAACCAGCCTTAGCATTGATAATGAAGATGGATAGCTTCTGCTTTTTAGGATCAACCAGCAGTAGCAAAGAGACAAGCAGTCAAGAAATACACTACAGACCAGCAATTGGTAAAGCAGCCATGAAGGCCTTAGAATAGATATTCAAATGGCTTGACTTACAAAGATCAGATTTGTGCAAGCCATGGTATTTCTTGTGACACTCTATGGAACTGAAAGTTGCACTTTGATGAAGCCGGCTAGGAAGAATACTGACACCTCTACATTTTGGTGTGGAAGATTTTGAGAATACTACAAACAGCCAAGAAAACAAACCAGTGGATCACTGAACAAATCAACTCAGAGATCTCCCTTGAAGCACACATGAGCAGTCTTAAATTATCTTGCATCTGACATATTATGTGAAGACCTAACTGTTTGGACAAGGCAGTAATTCTGGGAAAGGTGGGAGGAAAGATAAAGAAAGGCTGACCAGCAGCAATGTGGATGGACTCAGTTATAATGGTGATGAGTACACTGTGAGAAGACCGGGAAGATGAAATTAGGAACAGATCACCATAGAGAAAATCTATTTAGAGGATTGCTAGGAACCAAAATGATGGTTGCAATCAATCAATCAATGTATCAAATATAAATAAATAATAAAAATGCTTCAGAAATACTAAGAAAATAAAAATAAGGCTATATCGGATCAAATTGGGGAAAGTTCTCCAAAATAGTTTGGCCTTAGCCTCCCCTTGTCCCCAAATTCCTGAAACTGGGATTGGTAACATTTTCTTCCTGTTAGATTCAATTTGGTTGGGCTGGAACTGGACAGTGAAGGTGATCCTGAAAGCATCTGGATGTCAAATACTTTGTAAGTCAAAAGCAGCATTTTTAATAGGACCTGGAGACCAATTCGAAGCTAATGCAGGATTCACAAAAGTGATGTTATATGTTCCCAGTGCCAAAAGCCCAAAAGTATGGGGGCTCCTGCATTTTGAAACAATTACACTTTCAATATATTATTTATTGACAGTCCCATGTACAAATACATTACATTAATCTAGATGGGTGGTGCTAAGGGCATGAATTACTATTGCCAATTCCTCTTTGGCAACATTCTGACCAGCATTAGTTAGGGTTAGTGTACAATTGTGTACAATTATTCAGCAGATAATAGTGTTCCAGTACTCTTTTCTAAATGAGCTGTTCTCCTTTCAATTAAATAAATTCAAGAGATGACTGGACTTGAAAAAATATGTCTTCAGCAAACACAGAATACAATAAGTCCATATCGAACTGTTGGGCGGGAAGTAAAATTGTAAGTAAGGAAGGAAGGAAGGGAGGGAGGGAGGAAGGAAGGAAGGAAGGAAAGAAAGAAAGAAAAAGAAAGAAAGAAAAAGGAAGGAAGGTTTCTACATTTATCAGGGTTTTTTTGGTTACTATCTTGAAATGTAGTATTCTCTTTTTATTTAAATACAGCTGACAGCCAAAAAGAGCCGCCTTCTTAATTTTGCAAATTGTCTAACTGGAATGATTGAACTGTACAAAAAAAGAATGGACTGGTTAACTTCTGAAAGTCGTCAGATTTTTGGAGTCATACAGGAACAGAATATCACCATAGTTCTGGATTTTGGAACTGCTTCTTTAAGTGAGTTCAATCTCTGCCGAGAAGCACTTTCTATGGTCTTAAAGCAGCAAGTGACCCAAATTGAGAAATTTAACTTAATCCGGTAAGTTATCTATATTTTATTACTGAGTTATGCTATTTTTTTTTTACCATTGCACTTCAAATGGCAACAAGCTATTTGGAAAGACATATGAAGTATAAATAACTAAGGAGAAGTATTGACATTTTTGCATGTCTTTTAAATTATTTGTGAGATGAGAAGAATTTCTTGTCTGTTAGGTGTAACAGAGGTGAGCTTTACTTGTGATAAGAAAGTGGTCGAGAAAACAAGTTGGAGTGTGTGACAGCCCCCAAAAGTTAGCCTCCTTCATTTTTACAGTGCTTTCTCAAAGACAGGTGTCAGAGCATGTGAATGAGCAGAACTTTGTCATTAATGTGCAACTCTGAGCTACTTGTGATATGTCCTGGACATTTGTCACCCCGATCATATATCTGTCTAGACATCAGAGAATATCCCTCTGCCTTCTGGTCTTAGGAATTCCTAGGCTTGTAAGAGGATAACGTAGCATTTCCTCCAAATATTTTAGTTACTTCCTTTGCAGGGTGGCTCAGGATCCTGTGAGGTGGCAAGAGAAATCTGTTTTTGTTACAAAGGACTCTATAGAAGATGCCATTGAGTGGCTCTGGAGGCTGGAAAACCTACCAGCTGTTTGTCACACTGGAGCTACAGAAGCAATCTTGGAGGCACTGTTTGCTCATACGGTAATCTATTTCCAGAAGTGTTCAGTTAGGACTAAGGATACCCCACTGAGATTTAACTGACAGTACTGCGGGAATGGATTATGAAGGGCCCAAGTACTAATAAAAGAACATGGGGTTTATTTAGAAGGAATTTCTTTCAAGTTGTTCTGCAGGCTGAAGTTTACCAATAACAGATGTACATGACAGTGTCCTGTTCTGAAGGCAGAAGTTTTCTTTCTAATTCCCCTTGGAAAGAGGGGCAGAGAAATATTTCCATGACACCAAAGAGCTTTGAAATATATAACTTTGGTTGGAATGATCCATTTTGGTATATTAGGTGGAAATATACATGAACATTTTCCTGTGCATGCAGCCTTTCATGGAAACATCATTTTTTCTAGAAAGTCTAATTAAATATAGGGTGATACTCAGAAGCTGGTGAAATCACCTAAATGTTCCATATTTAATTAGGTTCTCTTTAGGTTGTTTTAGGAATTGTGGGGAGAACAGATCACATTTTAGAATTTAGATCATATTTATGCCGAAATATTGAAAGTGCAATAGGGTTCACAAACTTTTTTGTTTCCTCTTTTAGCTTGCCAAATGGAGGCACAATAGTTGTCTTCTTCTTCTTTTTTTTTAAAGCCACACTGTACTGGCTTGTTCAGAAACAATTAGAAATTTCCTGACTAATTGTTCATAATGTACAGAGAAGTGTGAGTAGGCCACACAGTATATCCATTCAAAATATTGAATGTTGATCATGCCTTAGTAAATGAAGATATGATCATTTGAAGGTAGTCATGTACATCTGAAGCAGACATCTCTGAACTGGTAAAACAGAAATCTTTTATAATGTATATCCTAGTAAACTGTAGCAGCCCTCTTTCCTGTTAAGCATGGAGGCTACAGATTCAGCACTGGTAGGTGTTCTGACCCCCCCTCGTCCCATACCAACACACATTCCGAACCAAAGATAAGTTACGGCATTTAATTAACAGACAGGCAGGTCCTTGGCAGCAAACCGGCACAGACGAGCTTGGGGAGCAATCCAACACAGATAAGCCATGGCAGCAATCCAGCCTTGCCAAGCTCACAATAATGTTCTCCAACATTCGTTCCTGCGTTGAATACTGCAAAAGGGGCATGTGCCCAAGCATTCCTTTTATAGTGCCTGGCATCTAGAAACAACTCCCTTGGCTCCTCCCCACTGCTGACCTCTGGATCACACTCCCTTGTCTCCTCCCCACTGCCCCAATACATGATGTCACGATCACACTCCCTTGTCTCCTCCACACTGGTCCAAGGCTCAGGCGTCTCCTGGTGGCCATCCAGCCTCTCTGCACCCTGCTCGGAGTCGGAAACCTGTCCAGGGTCCTCCATTTCCTCCAAAGCTGACTCATAGGGTCCCT